GCTTGTGTTCCCTCTCTCGCTGTGTCTCTCTGTCAAATAAATAAATAAAAATAAATAAAAATAAAACTATCTAGGTCATAGTGCCCTCTTCTTCAGATCACTCCCTTATTCAGTAAATATTTACACTTAATCTTAGCCAAAAGGTCAAGAAACAATTACTTAGGGGTGCCTGGGTGAGTCAGTCATTAAGCATCTGCCTTTGGCTCAAGTCATGATCCTTACACATGCCAGGCAAGTCTAGTAGGGATTAGAAATAGATTGAAAAACAAAACAGACAAGCTCTCAAAAAACTTTTTTTTAAGCAGGAGAGAAAACAACATATAATTAAATAATAAATGAAATAAAATAATTAGATTAGGAATAATACTAGAAAGAAAATAAATAGGATATATGGGAAAGAATAAAAGGGAAGGGCGCCTGGCTGGCTCAGTCAGAAGAGTATGCGATTCTTGATCTTGGGGTTGTGAGTTCAAGCCCCACGTTGGGGGTAGAGATTTCTTAGGGAAAAAAAAAGTTCAAAAATAAAAGGTGGGGGCACCGGGTGGCTCAGTGGGTTAAGCGTCTGCCTTCGACTCAGGTCATGATCCTAGGGTCTTGGGATTGAGCCCCACATCGGGCTCCCTGCTCAGCGGGGACCCTGCTTCTTCTCTCTCTGCTGCTCCCCTGCTTGTGCTCTCTCTTTCTCTCCTTCTCTGTGTCAAATAAATAAATAAAATCTTAAAAAAAAAAAAAAAGGAAAGAATAAAAGGGAGAAACCAACTTTGGAGAGTATGCTTGGGGAAGACTTCTCTGAGGAGGTGGTATTTAAGCTTAGACCCAAAATAAAGGAGCCAGGGTGCAGGAGCTATGGGAGGAACATTCTAGTAGACTAGAGGAACGGTGTCTTCAACAGACGCAACTACCAGCCTTTGATGTTTGACCTGTAAGCTCTCCAGGATACATGATTTCACTATCTTTATAGTCTAGCAGTGGAGAGTCAACAGTTTCTCACCAGTTCATTTCAATGTTCTAATGTAGTTTAGATGTTCTTTCTTATGTTCAGCAGGAAAAAATTAAAAATTGCTGATACTATTTCTGGTCTTATTAACATCTTAGTGCATTTCCTTCAAATCAGTTTTTTAAGCTAGTATCTCTTATTTGCATTCCATGTACAGGCTCTAGGCTACAAGTTTTGTGTGTATTATTATATTCTCTCTTCACGCAACTCCAGGAGTACGCAGTTGTTTTAAAATAAAACAAAAACAAAAACAAGCATAAGGAGGTTAAGTAACTTTCCCAGGCACATGAGCTGGTCAGTGGCAGAGTAGGAACCTGACCCCAGAACTGCCTGACACGAGTCTCCACTCTAACCACTCTGGCTTCTCCTCAGCGTGAGTGCAGGTTATATGTATTTCCCCCAAAATTTATAGCCTGCTGATTTTGTCTTCTATTTTTCCACATCATTAAATATTGACTGTTTTTCTTGATTCCTTGTTTTCTGTCTCTTGCTATATAGATTGAGCGTTCTTTCCTTTTACCTATTCCAGTGATTCGGAAGGTGTGCTTTCTATGTTTAATTCCAGTAATGATCATCTTTAAACAAAGACCACCCACTGAGAACAAATAGAGGCTATTTATTCAGAGCTTGCTACAGCAAGGGAAACCTCCACCATGCCTTGGATTTTGTGTTTCACAGAGACCCAAGGCAGGCAGGGGAGTGGAGAGGCTTTGTAGTGGCAAAAAGGAAGATTCGGGGATGCTCTGATTTGAGGTTGTTGCCACCTAGATTTGAGGCTGGAGGCTGGCCAGCTAGAAGGGGGCCTCTTATGTGATAAGTTTGGGGAGTATATTTGACTTTCCCTGGCTGGTCCAAACTTGGAGGAAGCTAACACAGGGTGTTGGCAATCATTAACGGAGTCTAGACCATTCTGGGCCAGTTGCTACAGAGGTTGTAGTTGGCTTCCTGGACTGGCGGCTCCAGAGGTTTGAATCAGGTTTTGTGGTCATATCTCATCTGGCCATTGTCTGTTTCTCTTTCACTTAGCAGAAATATTGGAGTCTTTTGTTAATAATTCCAAGTAAGTTGCCTATGGGGCGCCTGAGTGGCTCAGTCACTGAGGGTCAGCCTTCGGCTCAGGTCATGATCCCGGGGTCCTGGGATCGAGCCCCGCATTGGGCTCCCTGCTCAGCGGAGAGCCTGCTTCTCTCTCTCCCTGCTGCTCCCCCTGCCTGTACTCTCTGTCAAATAAATAAATAAAATCTTTAAAAAAAAAAAAGATTTTATTTGAGAGAGCATGCACATTCAAGCAGGGGGAGGGGCAAAGGGAGAGGGAGAGACTCTTAGGCAGACTCCATGCTGAGCATTGGAGCCCAATGTAGGGTTACATCCCACAACCCTGAGATCATGACCTGAGCTAAAATCAAGAGTCAGATGCTTACGGGACACCTGGGTGGCTCAGTTGATTAAGCATCTGCCTTCGGCTCAGGTAATGATCCCAGAGTCCTGGGATCGAGTCCCGCCTCAGGAGCCTACTCCTCCCTCTGCCTGCTCCTCCCTGTTTGTGCACTCGCTTCCTCTCTCTCTCTCTTTCTGACAAATAAATAATAAAATCCTTTAAAAAAAAAAAAAGATGCTTAACAGACAGGCACCCAGGTGCCCCAGTAAACTTTTTATTTTAGAGCAGGTTTAGATTTACAGAAAAGTTACAAAGGTTGTAGCACCTAGTTTCTGCTCTTTTTAACATCTTGGTGCCTTTGTTACAACTAATGAACTAATATTGATACGTAATTATTAAGTGGAGTCTTTATTTTTAGCCTAATGTCTTTTTTTTTAAGGTGTTTTTTAGGGGCGCCTGGGTGGCTCAGTCGTTAAGCATCTGCCTTTGGCTCGGGTCATGATCCCAGGGTCCTGGGATCGAGCCCCGCATCAGGCTCCCTGCTCCGCGGGAAGCCTGCTTCTCCCTCTCCCACTCCCCCTGCTTGTGTTCCCTCTCTCTGTCAAATAAATAAAGTTTAAAAAAAAAAAAGAAAGTTGCCTATGATAGAGATCCTATGATTTACCCAAAGTCACACAAAATGAGAGTGTCAGTCAGGATTTGAAGCTGGCTCTTAAATGAGTGCTATACTGAGTCCCCCCTCCACACATACACACACGTATAGCCCAACTACATGAGTACTTGAGGGGCTATATGAAAACATAACTAATGTTCAGAGATATTTTTTAATAAATAAAATGTGTTCCTTCCATGCAAAAGAAGCGTCAAAGAGTTGCTTTCAAACCTATTGCTTACTCTAAATTTCAAAACATTTATCAGCATTTCTTAGGACATATATACAGAATTATTTTAGGACACAAACAAATATTAGTCTCATTAACTAACAATCATAACTTGCTTTTGGTCAGAAAGTACTGAATGTCTCCACAGGACTTTTGGGTTATTGTAAGAGATAATTTTTTTCACTTGAATCAAAATTTCCCCCTATGTGAATATTCAAAAGAATCTGCTACAAAATCATATAAATTACTTATGGTTGTGTAACTATAGTACAGGAATGTTCTTATGCAGCTGTTAAAAAATTCTATTAATGAAGACCACATAGAAACATGGGAAATATCAACTATGTTAACACAAGAGATGGTGTGCATATTATACTGCAGTTATGTAAAAATATGCATCCACATAGACAAGAACAAAGACTGGAAAGTAATTTGCCAAAAGAAAAATAATTGCAAAATAATGTGGGATCTTTCAGATTTTTTCAAAATGTTCTCCAGTGTTTTACCATATTAAAGTAGCTAGTCTGTATGCTAGACAGCTTTATTAAGTGGACCAGTAGCCTGTGGACAGTAATTCACAAAGGAAATAAGAAGATCTCTGCCAGTTTTTTGGGAACCACTCCTTAACCACAGGGATAAGAGGTTTTCCTCTCCATAACAAAGGAGAATAATTTTCCTTTCCTGAGGTCGTTTTGGAAAGCTGTTATTTTTCCATTCAGAATGTGCAATTATCATTAAATATTCATGTTCGCTTTCACAGGAGGAACATCAAACTCTTTTGATCAAAAAATGACAGCAATTTATTACCTGTATTATCAAATGTAAACTCCCCAGCCAAGCATTAAAGACTTAAAATCTCTTCTTTCCCCAGGAATACTTCAGGAGAAAGTTTTCCCTGTTAAGACTTCTCTGTAATGGTTAATTCGTCCCTTGTTTGATATACCTCATCGTGATCCAATACCGCAAATTTTATATGTGGGATTAAAATAACTATAAATAAAGCTCCTCTATTCTAGTATTTCTGTCTCGCATCTTTATTTTTTAATAAAATATTACAGGATAAAATTCAGGTCTAAGATTTACATGTCAGTGTACTCTCCATGTCTCCTACAACTTGACTTTTTTCATTCAACATTGTTTTTGCAATCTGTCTACATTGTACTGATAGATTTGTTCGTTTATTTTAAGTTCCCCGTGGCATATTAATTGTGCTGTGATTGCAGTTTACTGGAAAACGAAGGAGCATATTCTAGAAAGATCTTGTTACTCCCCGTATGACAGGGAGGAAAACCTCTTGCCTGAAGAGCTTTCTGCCATCTTTGATTTGAAGGGTGGGGTGGAGTGGCTTTCAAGTGTGAGCACAGCTCTGGAGTAAAAAGCATCTGCTCAAGGCTAGGATAATGTGTGCTGACTGGGTGAGGGGACGAGGAGTGGTTTTAAAATACAGTTACGCTTAGAGCATATGCTCTTTAGGATGCCATTCCTCCCTCCCAGCAAGATCCTGTCACACTGGTGTTGATGGCTGTATTCTTCTGCTGTGGAAGAAACAGAACTAGAGTAGACAAATGTCTCTTTGGCATTTGTCCGATACATAAAGACTTGGGTCTCAACATTCCCCTCTGGAGCTGGTGAACATTTGTTGAACACCAACAGTGAAATAGGCACAGGAAATGCAGCTGCTTGCAATATCATTTCAGGATAAGCAGGAGCCTTGCTGAGTTTTTCTGTCTGTCTTTTATTAAAGGTCCACACACGTTCCTGTCGGGGAGGATCAAGTCCAGCACATGGAGCTCGTTCAGGATCTAGCACGAGAGTTTAACAAGAAGTATGGGGAGTTCTTCCCGGTGCCCAGGTCCATTCTAAGTAAGTAACAGACACATGACTGTTAGATCAGGCCCGGTTTCCAAGACAGGATTGGATAATGGACTGAGGCTTGGAATTTCCTTGGGACAGGCTTCAGGATTTGGAACTAGAATCCCCATCTTTCTCTGTCCTGTGGGATGGGCAGACCTCATTAGATTATTGAATAAAATAGCCAAAAAAGCTTGAAAAGCATGGGAAACACTAAAAATGAAAAATAATCAAATTCATTAAATTACGTAATACATATATATATACACATATTTGGTAAATTAATAATACTTTATATTGAAAAGTATATGTGGGAAAGACTAAAAATGAAAAATAATCATTTTCATTATAAAGCACTATATAATTTACCAATCATATATATTTAATAAATTATATCATACATTATATTGAATAGATATTAATAAATTAATGTATTAACATTATTATATATTAATATAGTAACATATTTAATACTTTATAAGGAATTATATATAATACGTACATATATCCTTCCCTGTTTTATGGATGGGGAAACTAAGGCTTGGCAAGGAATGTTGCATCCAAGTCATATTTCAAGCTAGTGACAAAGCTCTTCTGATTCCAAAGCCATTGGACCCTGCCTTCCCTATTCACAAGAAAACAAAGCCATAAGAAGGAGAACTGCTGAATCATCAGCTAGATAAAACTAGAGGGAATTGATCATTCTCACACTCTCCTTTCTTAAATGCACATTGATGGAATGTATAATCCCCCCACTGGATCTGAAACCCCACCAGCAGCTGTGAGGCTATGCTAGTTTGGAATCTTGAGGAAAGAAGCCGTGCCTCTCTATAACATTTTGGTAGTGATGTAGATTTGTGGCAGGGGCAGAGATCACTGAGCTCAAGCTCTGTCCATCTTTATTAAGCTGACAGCATTTTATACAGTATAACATGGACCCAGTATCAGTTCAGAAGCATAAGGCAGGTATAAATTTCTGAGCTATTCCAGTGGTTCACACAAACAAAAAACGGGCCTACCATGTATTGAAATCAAGCTTCCTTTAGCAATAAGTAATATTTTAATGTTTTTGCCTGTTATTAAATTTACCTATTTCGAATTGATATGTTTCTGCAATAGCCATAACACAGGCAATTATTAATAACACTGGTTTATAAAGCACAGCTTAACATCTTGATTCTATCAGAGCAATAACCAAGTCATTTGTGTGTGTGTGTGTGTGTGTGTGTGTGTGTGTGTTGGTATATACTGATATTGATATAACTGGGGTAAAGAAATGAAAGGATTGCCACAGATTGTTAAAATTCGTTGGGGGCAGGAAGGGCAGTGGTTATGGGCAGAGGGTGATTAACTAATAGGGATGAGCAGAGAGGAAAAGAGAGAAGGAGAGGAAAGAAATAGACCAGACTTTTTAAAAGGGTATGCACGGCAAAGCAGTATAATTGATACAATTTCATTTGTCTAAGATTATACATTTTATGTGTATATATGCATTAAAAGATGCATGAAAATATCAACCAAATGTTAACAGTTTTATTACGTTTCAGATGATCTTTATTTTCATGCTTATATAAATGGCTTGAATTTTTCACAATGGGTATTAGCTATTTTTATAATCAGATAAAAATAATAAGGTCATATGGTAAGAAACAACAGGTGTAGGCGAGGATGAGAAAAAGGAACGCTCGTGCACTGTTGGTGGGAACGTAAACTGGTGCAGCCACTGAGGAAAACAAGATGGAGGGTCCTCAAAAAGTTAGAAATAGAACTACCCTATGATCCAGTAATTCCACTATTGGGTACTTATCCAAAGAAAATGAAAACACTGACTCAAAAATATGTATGCACCCCTATGTTTATTGCAGCATTATTTACAATAGCCAAGATATGGAAGCAACCTAAGTGTCCATCATTAGGTGATGGATAAGGGAGATGTAGTATTTATACACATGCTCAACCATAAAAAAGGACGAGATTGTGCCATGTGAGACAACATGGGTGGACCTAGATGGTATAACGCTAAGTGAGGTGAGTCAGACTGAGAAAGACAAATACCATATCTCCTTCATAAGCGGAATCTTAAAAAAAAAAAAAAAAAAGAATAAAACAAAAAGCAGAATCAGACCTATAACCACAGAGAACAAACTGATGGTTGCCCGAGGGGAAGAGGGGAGATAGACAAGATGGATGAAGGGGAGAGGAAAGTACAAGCTTCCAGTTATGGATGAATAAGTCACAGGAATAACAGGCACAGCATAAGGAATAGAGTCAGTTATGGTAATAGCGTGTAGGTGACAGATGGTAGGGACACGTGTGGCAAACATAGCGTAATATATCAGTTTGTCAAATATACACTGACATTGGGGTAACATGGTGTGTCAGCCCTACTCATTTATAATAACAGTGAAGTCATTTGGTACCCTTGGCACTTTTTAAGATCTGGACACTGACATTCCTGGTGTGATGTTTTCTCATCCTGTTACTGCCTTCCGGTTTGGGTTTCGGTGTGCGCATGTTGGCGTTGTTCCCTAGCATCGCTGAAGAAGGTGAAATCCCTCCGTGATCCTTCTGCCAAAATGTCCAAATCGGACCCTGATAAACTGGCCACAGTCAGGATAACAGACAGCCCGGAGGACATCGTGCAGAAATTCCGCAAGGCTGTGACGGACTTCACGTCGGAGGTGACCTACGAGCCAGCGCGCCGCCCCGGGGTCTCCAACCTGGTGGCCATTCACGCGGCAGTGGCCGGCCTCCCCGTGGAGGAAGCACTGCAGCACAGCGCGGGCGTGGACACCGCTCGCTACAAGCTCCTGGTGGCCGACGCCGTGATTCAGAGGTTTGCTCCAATTCAGAGGGAGATTGAAAAACTGAAGACCGACAGGGGCCACTTAGAGAAGGTTCTCCAGGTGGGCTCAGCCAAAGCCAAAGAATTAGCCCATCCCGTGTGCCAGGAGGTGAAGAAATTGGTGGGGTTTCTATAGGAAGCTTCCCTGCGTGGCAGAAAACCTTTTATGTCTTGTGGCCTGTGCACTCCTATTAATAAAGGCAGCTTTCCTCACAAATGAAAAATGATGGCTTGGCGACACCTAATTTTGGTACACATGATTATCGGCTTCATTGGTCAATAAGAATTTGTAACTTTCAGGGGCACCTGGGTGGCTCAGTGGGTTGAGCGTCTGCCTTCCGCTCAGGTCATGATCCCAGGGTCCTGGGATCAAGTCTCCCATCGGGCTCTCTGCTCAGTCGGGAGTCTGCTTCTCCCTCTCCATCTGCCTTTTCCCCCTGCTCATGTTCCCTCTCGCTCTCAAATAAATAAATAAAATCTTAAAAAAAAAAAAAAGAATCTGTAACTTTCAAATTGAGCAGTGTTCTAAAGCCCATCAGCAAAATGCTGTGGCCAAGAAGGAAAGAAGGCATAACTCTCTGAATCCTCAATTATTTGAGGCACACGCCTTACTCTGAATTTAGGTACCTGAATGTGACTGAGGTGAGCAGTGATTTGGCAAATGAGGGTATCATTTGTCTCTCTCACTTGAGTACATCCTATTACGGGTGCTCACTTTATGTGTCCCAGCCCTTTTAAATGTTTTTGTTTCGTTTTGTTTTGAAGTAATCTCTACGCCCGACGTGGGGCTCAAACTCACCCCCCAGAATTCAAGAGTCGCATGCTCCGCTGACTGAGCCAGCCAGGTGCCCCTCTGTCCCAACCCTTTTAAAAAGTAGTATGTAGATTCTTAGACTTATAATCCTTGGGATGCCATTTGGACCAATTTGTATTGAGATCTTATATTAATAAGTTGATTATTAGAGTTCATTTGTCACTAAGATAGTACCTGCCTAAATGTATTTAAGCTGCTTAACTTGTTCCCAATGAAACCACACTGACTGTCCCAGTAAATATTGTTGTGTTTTGTTTAATTCAGAAATACATGATACAATCTTCTGAGAAGGTTGCATTATTTCAACTTGATTGATTCACAAGAACCCAGGTTTCTGGATTCTGTTTGTAGTTAAGTGCTTCTTTGCCTTCGCTTCTAGTTCAACATCACCAGCCCCCCTGGGAAATATACCAGGGGGATTGCCATTTTACCCCCAAGGAAAGTGAGGCTCAGAGAGTGCATTAGCTTGTGCAGGATCACTCCGTAAGAAGCAAGTCCAAGATTAAAACCTTCACTCCTTAAAGAGTAGTGTTTTTTTCCGTCAGCACAGAACCATGAAAGGCAGGATCTATGGACTCCAAGCATTCTTATTTTGAAGGTGAATACTCGAAATATAAGACCTGAACTGTGGACACTGTTTAAATCAGTAACTCAGCCAATAGCCACCTGCTTTAAATCTGGATTCCGCCAACCTTGGTCATATTTGCTTCTCAGAATCCCCAAGGCAGGTCCAAAGTTCTGTCTCCTATGCTTAAGGCAGAGACACTTCAAAGTATATTCTGCCAGACTACCATAGTAGTGAGTCCTGAGAGATCAGATTTCCCTGATGAGTGGAAGCTTCTCACCTCTCCTCTACCTCAGCCTTTCTGAGTAATAACGAGTCATTCTAAAACCTAGCTTCTCTGCACTTTCATCCACAGAACTAAAGGTGCCATGGAAAGAATCTCTGAGGAGAAAAACTAGGGGACTTGTGATAACTTCCAAGGAGCAAGTGGGTGGGTGGTGACCACCTCACCTCACAGGTGAGGGTGGGCTTGTGACCATCCTGCTCTGGTTACCTTTGCAAGTGACCTGAGGACTCATCAAGTCCAAAATCTGCAGCCATGGCTGAGAGACGTGCCAATGATCTCAGGAAGTTGATAAATGAGCCAAGTTGAGAACATAGACGTCTTTTCCCTCCTTTCCACCTACCATTTATAGGCCTCAGCACAATCTTTTCATCGAGATGAAGAATCGGAGAGACATCTAACTTGTGGCCCACCTCAAAAGGTGATTTTAATTGTCATTTCCCATATGTTTTGTAGAGAGTTAAAATGATGAAAGACATTTCACATGGCAGTAACAATGGGCAGGTAACTTGGTATTCTGACAAACCCCATTTCAAACCCAATTTGACAGACTGTCACTTGGAACACATGGGGGTATTTTGTCCTATGTAGGTACCTCATAAATGTTTCTCAAAATAGTGTCCGAAAATGGACTAGAGGTTTCTATTAAAGTGTGGGTTGCTTGCTTTTTTCAGAAACCTTAGAGATGCTGATCCTCAAACACTAAATAACGCTATTGAGTTGTCACATGTATCGGGCACCCTACCGAATGTCTTAGAACCATATTTCCCACATGTGGTTCCCTGCCCTGCGGCATGAACACGACTGGGCAACTTCCCTGGCTCTACCCCAGACCTACTGAATCAGAAATGTGGGGGATGAACCCAGCAATCTGTGTTTTAACAACCTTCCAGGTGATTCGGATCATAATTAACTTCGAGAACCACTGCTTTATATGTATTCTCTCATTTAATTCTCAAAACCCAATCCTAGTATCAGTCTTGTATTACTAAGAACGAGACCGAGGCACGGGAGTGCTCAATACATGCTCACTAGCCTCAGGGACTAATGGCTAGCATGTTGGACAGCGTGGCTAGAGAATATTTCCATCATCACAGAAACGTCCATTGGACACTGCCGGGTGAAAACATTCAGCTTGCTGATTTTGCTTGTAGTAGCTCAAACACATATAGGTCAGATCCTACTCAGCACTTGCTCTCTGTGGGGCACTTTGTGTGTTTATATGTGCTATCTCATTTCATATTTCTGTCAGGCTATAACATAGGAACGATTAGTGCTGCTCTTTCAAGTAAATAAACAAGATTCGGCCACTTGCGTAAAGTCACACATTGATTATTCCTGTCTAGTATCTCCGAGTTAGGAACCCACTGATACCCCTTAACTGGTGTGCCCAAGGGAATGGTCTGCCCCTTCTTGACCAGTCTAGATTCTTCTCTCAGCACTTGTGAGCCTCTCCTGTGTGTCCCGTGACCTTAGCCTGTGGTGGCTCTTAGTCTCTTTCTCTTTAACATGACAATTCTGGGGCGCCTGGGTGGCTCAGTCGGTTAATCGTCTGCCTCCGGCTCAGGTCATGATCCCAGGATCCTGGGATGGAGCCCCGCATCCTGCTCCCTGCTCAGCGGGAAGCCTGCTTCTCCCTCTGCCTGCAGCTCCCCCCTACTTATGCTCTCTCTCTCTCTCTCTCTGACAAATAAATAAAATCTTTTTAAAAAAATGACAACTCTGTTCTCATTGACTCTGTGTTCTCCCTGTGTGATCAACATTCCCTTTTCACTGTCAACCTGAGGGGGTCTTTTGAAATTTCTTTGGCTGGGAAGAGACCATTCCTCCCTGAAATTGAGCTTGAAAACAGAATGCCCCTGACTCTCATGTCATTTTTCCAAGTACCTCCATTGGCCGAATGACCTGGAGGCTTTACTGTTAATCATTTTAAGTTCTCAGATGTTCATTTCCAGTAATTCTGTTCCATTGGCTAGGCAGGGATTCTGTTCTTTCTCCAGGAAGGAAACTGGTTCAGCGGGCTGGTGACTTATCCTCAGATACGTAATTCAGCATTGTGACAAATGTCTATATAGGGCCTCCTTTGTGGAAGGTACAGGGGAAAGACGATATGCCAGTAGGTTAGAGGAGGACACACAGAGGTACTAGGTGGCACATGCTGAGTGAGCATGGCAACAAAAGATCATCCAAGATGTTTAGGGAAGGAATAAAATAGATACATGATGGGAGAAAGGACTTGCCAGTAAGAAACTAGGACACAGGGGCATGAAAGCATTTAGGGAAGAGCCAATCCACACAGTGTGTGGCAAAATGAGAATGGAAATACTAGGTTGAAATTGTCAATACTTGATTGTTATTTTTTTGGAAAAAAAATAACTTCCTGGTAGTTCAGTGTGGATTAACCTGATCTATCCAACGAACAAGCGTTTTGTCAAGCTCTTGTCTTACAGGTACCATCAAAACACCAAGAATTAGAAATGAGACACAGTCTCAAGAGATGTCTGTTGGAGATGCACATGGAAAGCCAGTGAGAGGTAGAATAGGAACTAGAAGCAAAGTCTTCTGGGTCTTGTACCTCTCTCGGATACATGCCATTGACTATGGCATTAGCTCTTGTTTATTTGAAATATGGCTTCTGAATGTCCCACTTGCTTAGTGGCTCTGAAAGGAACAGAATAATTAGTATTTGATATAGCCATGTTGGCTCTATGGAATGCAAATTCTTTTTTTTTTTTTTTATGCCCCCTCCCCATCCCTACCCACACAGACACATGGTAAACCAGGCTGATAGTCATCATTTCCTAAAGTTTCTGAAAAGCACATGATGTGACTTTAAATGACTCTATTTAGAATAAACTGATGTGATTTTACATAGTCACTGTCTTATCATAGTCACCTTAATCCCTTTTTCATTTTTTTATTATGTTATGTTAATCACCATACATTACATCATTAGTTTTTGATGTAGTGTTCCATGATTCATTGTTTGCGTATAACACCCAGTGCTCCATGCAGAGTGTGCCCTCCTCAATACCCATCACCGGGCTAACCCATCCCCCCACCCCCTTCCCTCTAGAACCCTCAGTTTGTTTTTCAGAGTCCATTGTCTCTCATGGTTCGTCTCCCCCTCCGATTTCCCCCCTTCATTCTTCCCCTCCTGCTATGTTCTTCTTCTTCTTCTTCTTCTTTTTTTAACATATAATGTATTATTTGTTTCAGAGGTACAGGTCTGTGATTCAACAGTCTTGCACATTTCACAGCGCTCACCAGCCACCCCATCCCTCCTACTCCACACCACTCCAGCAACTCTCACTTTGTTTCCTGAGATTAAGAATTCTTCATATCAGTGAGGTCATATGATACCTGTCTTTCTCTGATTGACTTATTTCGCTCAGCATAACACCCTCCAGTTCCATCCACTTAATCCCTTTTTCAAATAAGATTTTACAATACAGGCTTCCTGAGAAGGAAGCCACATCCCCTCTTTTATCTGTGAATGCAGGATGAAGAAGTATGTGTGCCTGGCATTTACCACCAGATCACCCCATGCTAGCCTGTCCACAGAGAATCCCACTGCGAGCAACTGTCAGTTCAAATAAATAGATTATCCGGAGAGTTCCCTCAGTTTGTAGCAGCCTTCCCACCTCCCCCCCCAAAAAAGAACTCCTATAATAATTCTTTTAAAGATTTTATTTATTCATTTGAGAGAGAAAGTGAGCGAGAGAGAGAGCACAAGCCAGGGGTGGGGGGGCAGAAGGAGAAGCAGACTCCCCACTGAGCGGGAAGCCAGATGTGGGACTGGATCCCAGGACCCCAGGATCATGACCAGAGCCAAAGGCAGACACTTAACCAACTGAGCCACCCAGGCACCCCTCCTATAATAATTTTTTAAAAAACCAAACATTGTGTGGCTAGTTCAGACACGACCACAGAAACCAGACCTGGGGAGAGGTGTTCCCACCTAGAGCCAGAGAGCCAGTGAGCAAGAAGGGTGTTATTCCTTAGCAGGAGTCCAGAAGAAAGTTCTTATACTAGAAGGAGAGATGAGACCTCATGGGAATTCAGAGCCACAGAATTGTTTTATGATGGATTCTCCTCCTGGGAATTAACAAATAATGGACTTCCTGAAGTTCTGGTTCTTACATTGTCCTCTGGTTCTTGCAAGTTGCTGGTTCTTGCATTGTCCTTCCTACATCAGCCACATCACTTCCATGCCATTCTCACGCCCTCTATGGCTTCATGTTCTTTTGAGGAGAGCACATTCTGATGCCCCTTTGATGTCCTGGCATGTGAACATGTCAAGGTATACAGAAGAGTTTTTGCCTCTTGATCCATCTAAATCCCAAAGTAACAACCTCTGTATTAAGCATAAATGCTTCCCCACCTCCCATCCCCACCCCCAGAAAACAATATGTATAGATACACAAAGAACCCTTACTGTACTTGTGGTTCAGATTTTACATCACTTGCCATCAAGCTGCTGTGGCAGAGACTCCTCACCATGCCCCAGTATGGTGTCTCTCCTTCCTTTTTAGTGATGGAATCCTCTTCCTTAGTTTTAGCAGAGAACATAGTGCCAGGTAGGGACCACATTTGCAAGCCTACCCTTCAGCAACGGATGGTTCTGTGAATTTGTTCTAGCCAATGGGATATGGGCAAAAGTGATATGTGATTTCCAAGACACATCCTTTTAAAGGAAGTTGCTTACACACACACACACACACACACACACACACACACACACCCTTACTGGAACAGCCTGTTGGGCCCATTGATGGAAGCCACAAGAGAAAGATGGGGGCACTCAACCCCTCAGCCTGGGTCCCCTGGGCTCAGTAAGCAATGCTATCTTTTTGCCCTGGATTGCCCTACTTAACTCC